AATATAATGATGCCTTATCTTAAAGAATTTTCAAGCCCAGGAAGAGGAGGGAAGAAAGTAAACAGGGATCCTCTACACTGTGTATGACTAGGGGAGATGCAAAGTAAGTAGGAGGAAAAAAACTAAAGGAATACCTCATCTAACGCTTACGGGTAGGGTCAGAAAAGATTTCAAAAAAAGAACCAATGTGTACTCCAAAACTTTAAGGATTAGTAGGAACTAGCCAAGTTATTAGGAAAGTTGGCAGTATAACAGAATGGTAAAAAAAAAAAACAAAAAAAACAAAAAAAACAAAAAAAACCCAACTGGAGTTTTCTGGCATGGAACTTGCCTTAGTATGCACAAAGCCAGAAGTTCAGCCTACAGATAATGTGGGTTCAAAATTTTGTTTCTAGCCACTGTTTATATTTAAGAAGTTCTAAAATCACTCTGAAATCACTTTGCTTCATTAGAAAAAAAACCAGAAGGACGATTATAGGCATTCTGACAACTAAATCTACCTGTGTCTATGCCCATGTACAGGGTTTTTCTGATAACACTGTTGATGAGTTTTCCATTGTTTCTTTTGATGACTAGGTCTTCCACCTGTGTACTAGATCCTGTTTCACTTCACTTCTCAAGAACTTTTTTCCCCTGTGTTATAAATATTTGCTTTTGGTTTCGCCCTTTCCAATAGCTGTTATAAAATTCTTTTACTTCTGTCTTTAAATTAAACAAAATAAAGTTCCTTTCTTGACTCCACTTTCATCTCTAGGCATTGCCTCATACTCTCCTCTTTGTAGATACCTTCATAAATATTATCCACATCAGTGATGGCGAGCCTTTTAGAGTTTTTAATGATAACAAACAGCCTGCAGTGGCATGTATGACATAGCTTCACCACAACTGGTCTATAGTCTTCCTCTCCAAATTTGGTTTTGCTATCTATAATGGCTTGTATCGGGATGTTTCCCCAAAGCCACATGCAGTCATAGCTAGTGGTTTTTGAAGGTGGCTGGTTTTTGGTGGTGGGTTTTGGAGAGTGCATGATGTTTGATAGAAGGATGCAATGCCTGATGCAGCGTGTGAGCACTGACTACCCTAAGGGAAGGTAGCCTGTATAAAATATAAGTAACAGAAAGAGAGCTGTCACTTGTTATTTGCTGGCTTCTGCCTGCCCTGGTTTTCCATGGACTGTTTCTCCTCTGGGATGCCACCTATGAACTGAAATCTGCATGATTTATGAACCAAATAAACCTTTCTTCCCTAACTCTGAGTGTTGGGTATTTTGCCTCAACAATGAAAAAAATGAACTAAGATACTACTTTTTTTTTTAAATTAAGCTTTTGTTTTCATCATTCTATAGGATTATTTTTATTAGGATTACAAATGATCTCTGTTTGTAAAATAAATACTGTAATTTTCAGTTCTCAAATGACACTGTTGATCACCTTTCTCCTTGAGAATTAGCTTTCAATATTGGAACACGTTTCTTTTTTTCTCCAACTTTTTTCATGGTTTCTCTTTTATCTACACTGGTTCTAAACCCTACAGGAATATAGAGGTCAGCCTTTACTTATTTTCTACTTACATCCATTCTTTTTGTCATTTCAAGCAATCTCATGGGTTTATATACCATTTACTTCTTGCAACTCCCATATTTTATTTCCAACTCAGACATTTCCATTAAATTCTTTGCTCATGAACAATTTAACTTCTTTATTTCAATGCTGAATAAGCACCTCAAACTTATCTTTCCCAGTCTGATATCATTTCCCCCTGTAATTTGCTACTTTCATAGTCTTAATTGTTTACAGTTATTGGCAACTTTGTTTTTTCCCAATTGAGGCCAAAAAGTTTAAAAGTCCGTAATGACTTCTTGCATTCTCTCACACTCTACATTCAGTAGGTCAGTAAATCCAGTCGGCTCTACTTTTACAATAGATCCAGAATGCAACTCCATCTTTCCATTCCCGGTGTTCCTACTGGTTCATGTCACAATTATCTCCTGCCTAAAGTTTTACAAAAACCTATTGTTTCTACATTTTGACTATGTCACCCTGAGTCTCTTTGCAAGATAGCAGCCGTAGTGATGCCATTAAATAAAACTCAGCATGGGCCTAGTTCTTTCCAAAACCACCCAAAGCAAAAGATTGGGTGTCCTGTAAACTTTCTAAATGTATTCCTATTTTCTCTCTAGCTCTATCCCTGTCACATTAATTTCCTTGCTGTTCCATGACTACCTAAGCTTTAGCACAGTTTCTGTTTCAAGGCTCTCATACCTGCTCCAGAAATGCTCCTCTGCTAGTTATCTGCACAGCCAGCTCCTTCTTTTGTCTTTATTCAAAAATCACCTTTTCAGCAAGGCCTTTTCTGAACACTATTTAAAACTGCAGAATCCTCTTGAATATTATGAATACTTTCTTGGTCTTATTTTCTGCAGCCATTAACATACTAGTATATAGTTTAGTTGTTTATCTAGTTTCTCTTTCTGTCACCCATTCTCCAACCCAGAATGTGAATTTATGAATGTAGAGGTCCTCAACAGACACTTGCTCAATAAATGCATGAAAAAGCATGTTGCTTAATCCTCAGTGTAAGAGAATATGAGTCTTGTGGCTACCTATGTTCTGCTGTTAATAAATGACAATATGTATTTACCTGAGCCAGAAAATATTTTAGGTTCATATGGTGTTGACATCATTTACTTTAAAATTTTCTCTTTGCTTCTCTGTTTATAGAGTTAGTGTTTAATGCTATTTTTTCATAAAGTTCTTATTTGTATACTTAATTGATGTGTACTACTGTTAAATTTTTTTTTTCATTCAGTGTTTGGTTAATATGCCCCTTGAGATAGTTATGCTGAATTACTAGATCAGGACAGATTCATAAGAAGCATTAAAACTTCATTCTAATTCTCTGAATGTTTCAAATGCCAGAAAATGAGTTATTACCTATTTGTTTATTTATAACTTAATTTATTTCTATAAACACTTTTAATTCTATATTATTATTGGAAAAATGACAAAATAGGCTCATTATAAGAAGGCTCAAGGATTATTTGGAAATTGCAATTGTAGCTTATGACACTGGAAAGCCTGTTAAAATAAGAAAGCTCAATTATTCCTTCCAAGAGTTGCCAATTTATATTTTGCTTTTCTTAGAAAAGACAATCTCTATTATATATGATATTTAAGCTTTTTCCTTAGTGCTAGTATTTTCATAGCTAACAAGAAGAAATGGAAAAGATATTTTCACTCACATGCTTATGCATATGTTAACATAATGCCCATAGCTCTTGCATTTAATGTAGCATCTTATGCTCACCAAGAAGCAAGGGATCTATATATATGTAGTTGAATTACCCAGGTAACTTATCTGATGTTTCTGAACCTTAGATGCTCTATCTACTAAATGTGTATGATTATGGTGACTACCATAAAGGATTATTGCAACGATTAAACACAATAATGACTGTAAAGCAATGGTATAATACCTGGCATTCAGGTAAACACTTGGTAAGTATTCAGTGATATTTAAAATAGGTGTTAGTATTTGTGTTAAGGTTCTTTTAGATGCAAATAACAAGGGCAAACTTAAGCTAGATTTCACTTGTTCAATAATTTTATTGAAAACTTATTATGTACCTTGCTATGTGCTTGCTAGGCACTATGCTAAGAAAGGATAAACAAAAAAGAGATATTCATAACAAGATGTGAGGTGTCACTTAGAACTCAGACTTGCAACTGAATTTCATTCAGAAAAAAATTGAATTGGGAACTGGAATGCACTTGGAATCTAGAAAATATTCTGTCTCTTTATGTATTCCAATTTGTAAGCTGGTTTAATTTTCCTTTGCTGTAGATCAGCTTTTTCTGAAAAAAAAATTTTTTTTGATGGCGGGTTGAAGATGGTTACTCAGCAACTATCAAGTATACATGTTACTGTTCCAGCCAAAAAAGGGGACAGATATTTTATCTTTTTTTTTTTTTTTTTTTTGTCTTTTTAGTTTTTTATCGGTACCGGGGATTGAACTCACGACCGCCTGCTTGCAAGGCAGGTGCTTATGCTGCTGAGCTAAATCTCCAACCCCCAGATATTTTATCTTAATTTCAAAATTTTAAGATAGGGATTAACTATCCATCCTTGTCTAAACAGGAAGTCAACTAAGGCTCATTGTGAGTTGAACAAATATTTTAAATGGTAAGTACAGCAAGTATTCTCCAAAATTTATAAAAAGGAAAGACTGAAAGGCATGTCAGCTTCTCAACTATGCGTTGGCAGTAGTGAGTGCCAGAGACAGGATTCACACCCTGGAGCTGTGTAAGTGCAGGAGTAGTCCAGGAGAACGGGGCCTCCTTCCATTTTGCATCCTAACAGATTTACTTGCTCACTGTAGTTCCGAAGTCTGCCAAATGCTTTGTAGTTCTTTTTGCTGGATGTGTGTTCCTAGTTACCTTTGCTGTGCCTGAGACAAAATACCCAACACTCAAAGTTAAAGGAAGGAAAGTGTATTTAGGCTCCGCCTGCTGGCTCCAAGGCAGGCTGGCGTGGCAGAGGGGCAGAGCAGAGGAGACACAGCTCATGGCAAGCAAAAGCCAGCAAGAGCAGTAAGGCAGCAAGCAGCAGGCAGTGACCATAGATGATTTCTTTCTGTCCCTTTCATTTCATCCAGTATACCTGCCCTTAGAGCAGACGGCACTCACACCCAGGGCAGGCACCCTTAGCATCCCATTATGAATCAATTCCAGGATCACATCCTTGATCCCAGAAATACACCTTCTAGATCGAGGCACCTCTGAAAAGCTATGACTGCATGAGGCAACTAGATACAAGGCATATGAGCTCCCTTAATAAAATTTGTCACCTTTACAAATTTCTGCAAAATTAAATGTTAAGAAAGATTGATGGATTTGCACTGTGTTCTGCAAAGAGAAGTATGTCATTATATATGTTCGCTAATTTTGTGTATCATGAAACAGTATGTCTCCTAGGACATTCTAGTAAAAGCAGAAACTTACCTTCCCATTCTATTGGGATATCACCTACTTCATAGCTGATTTCATTTTTCTTTGCTGCTTCTATTATCCTTTTATCTCGAATAATTTGTCCTGTAAGAGAAAAGTGGTTAATGCATTTCTAAATGAACCTATGAGATGGTAGTTATTATAAGCAATACTTTCTTTTCTTTGATAATGCAATCCTTTCATAACAGAAAAATAATTAATTAGGAAAAACAATATATTCCATTTAGAACTATGGAAAATTGCCTCATAACATAGTACATTACCTTTTTTTTTTTGGTACTGGGGATTGAACTCACAACCTCGTACTCACGAGGCAAGTGCTCATGCTGCTGAGCTAAATCCTTGGCTACACAAAATGTCTACCACCATAGTATGTAAAATTAATTTTGGTAGGATAAATTTAGATTCTATGTAAAGAAAAAGAGGAATTAACTAATGCTGGAGGGCACAAATGACAAACAAACCAATAGTGTTTGACTCCTTCAAACTCATATATCTATTAAAGGTGCCAACAGCTGCTATGACTGCTCAAGGGAATCAATATTTATAGTCCTTTCTGAGTATGTGACAGACCATGAGACCTTGATGCTACTTGATCCCTACTGTACACTGGAAATTACAAGCAAGTCAAGGCACGGGTTGATTCTGCAGTCCATCTGAGCTGTTGCTTCTGAAAGGAATTTGAAGGAACAGGGACAAGAACTGATGTGCCTCAAGTTTGGTACTTCAGGTGAGAGAGATCAGCATCTGGATTACTATGGTAGCACACATGAACAGAAAGGTACTGAAGAGTAGTATAAATTTCTCAAAAATAAAAAGTGGATTACTGACCATTTACAGTTTATAGAAGACATAAAACTATTTACTTCTAGTTCCACAAGTCTTCATTCATTCTTTTAAAGCATTTTTCTCAAAATAGTGGCTTCAAAATATTTGCCTGTCATTTAATCTTTGAGCTCCCTAGGTAGGTTTTCTACTTCTCAATGACTATCATAAATACTTGTGTACGTGAGGGAGATTGAGCTCAGATAGAAGACATTGATGAACAATGATAAAGGGAGCAGCATTACTTAACAGCAATTAAATTACTCAGAGAGAGAAACCTGGGCCTATTCGTCCTTTCTCTTACCACTTCTAGGCCAACCTTATATTATGCCAAATATGACATTTATCTCATAGCAGGGGCTCAGTGCACATACACAGCTTTTCATCAGAATGCTGTTTACATTCATAAACAAGATATATCATAACAGTTATTATTAAGTATGTTTATAACATCAATTCCGAAATATTTGAGTCAAAATACCTGTCTTCATATATAATAGTCCTTATCTAGATAAAGAGATGCAGGATGTCCTTTTAATAATAATGGTTAAAGAAAGAAAATGTGGAGCCAATGATGGCAGGTCAGTAAGCAGCAAAATACAGAGGCTCCCTGAAACAACTCAGAATAAAACTTCTGGAGAGGACCAGACAGAGGGAGATGGACCCTCTTGACCCATGAAGAAACTAAAGGGAAAAGAGCTGGTCAAATGAAAAGTCTCGGTGCCACCATCAAAGCAGCTCAGATTCATGGCCACAGCACTCTCATTGGAACTGTCCAAACTCGTGATCAAGGTACACTCGCTCCTGGAGCTGTGATCATGCTGAAGTTGGGGGTCCGTAAGCCCAATAGAAACCTGCATTACCCTGAGGTTAGTGCTTAGAATAAGACCCTTCCATGGGAAAGGACGGCCAACTGGGTGACATGATACAATTGGGCAGAATGGGCATGAACTAGCAATGGTGTGATTTCAGTTGGTTGCTCCCTACCCAGAACAGATTGGTGGGATCTTCTTGGCCTGGGTCATGCCCCTGGCCATGACCCAATAAGCTGCCCCAAACCGATTCCCTATGTGGGGCACACTCTACTGTGGTGAAGGCCCCAGCTGGTTGACTGGCTCGAAGGGGAGGGGCCAGCATACGCCCCTCCCCCTGCTTGCACCTCAGTGACCAACAGCAAACTAGAGAGGGTAGAAATCCCTAGCCAGTGTGCTTCAGAAGAACCATAACCAACAAGGAAACGGGCATGCTAAGCATCTCTCAAGAAGATACAGATGTAAGAATGGAGGAGCATAGAAAAAGGAGGGAAACCTTTGATGAAGAATGTTAAAAAAAAATCTAGAATACATGAAAGAAATTCAAAGAGGTCACCAGGAAATTAAAAACTCCATCAAAAGCTGGAAAAATTGTCTGACAGAAACTAGAGATAGATTAACAAAACTTGAAGATAGGTTTGAAATGTCTGATTGTGAATGGAAGGAGCTCTTAAAAATAACAAGGAAACAGGCAGTAACAATACAAAGGCTAGAAGACGACAAGAGGATCTATAACTTAAGAATAAAAAATGTGAGTGAAGAAGGATAAACACAAAGGAAATACAAAGGCTATTCACAGAAATAATTATGGAAAACTTCCCAAGCATAGGAAAAGGAAATGATATTCAGATGTATGAGGCATACAGAACTCCAACCATTACAACCAAAACAGAGCTACACCAAGACATATAATAATCAGGATCCCAGAAATTCATAACAAGAACAGAATATTAAAAGCTGTCGGAGAAAAGAAACAATCACCTATAAAGGAAACCCCATCAAAATCATGGCAGACCTCTCGACACAAACCATCAAATCAAGAGGAGCTTGGAGTGAAGTATTCCAAGCCCTGAAAGAAAATAACCTCCAGCCCAGATTGATGTACCCTGAAAAACTCAAAATTAATGGAAAAATAACATGCTTCCATGACAAAGAGGAACTGGGGGAATTTGGGACCACCAATCCAACTCTACAAAAAATACTGAAGGACATTTTAGAGAGAGAGAGAGAGAAAAAAATACCAGGATTTCAGAAACAGCAGCCGAGAGGCCTCAATGAATAGGGCAGACAATGTAATGAAGGAGAAAAATAGACAACCAATGGGGGAAAAAAATAGCATAGCAGAAATGAGGCAGAGAAAGTTGGCTATAATCTGTAACATAGATGGCCTTGATACACTAACAAAAAGAAACACAGGCAGAGTAGATCAGGAGGTAGAGTCCATCAAGATAGTCTGTACAGAAAATATAATTAATCTGAAAGAGGGTTTATGGACCAAAAATAGAATATGAGAAAACAATGATCTATGAGAGGCTCAGAGAAATAGGGGCAACCTGACCAGCACCTGCAGATAGGATGGAAAGACATAATACTTTTGTGCAGTAGAGAACTATTCAGTTATAATGAAGGAAAACCTTGAGGCTTTCGTAGGTAAAGGAATACAACTTGAGATGAGGTCCATGAGTGAGAAGGTTTGGACCCACTTAGGTAAATAGCAGGTTGCCCCCTACAATCTAAAACTGAGGGAGTTGGTGGGACCCAAAATGTGCAGTGCACCCTGTGGGAGTGAAAAAGAGAGGAACTGTCTAAAAAAAGGAATGCAGAGGATATTGTTAATAGTGTATCACGATTTAAAATCTATATTACTCTCACTGCTCTGTTTAGATGGATTATATTCTGTTCCAGTTTGTCTACTTGTACTAGATTTGAGGGCATAGACAGCTATCCCAAAAATAGCTGTCCCGAAAATAGTACAGTAATCATCCCTAATTTCCTATTAACTTAATCTGAAGCCCTGTATAACTTACACTGTCTTATTATGACTGATCTTATTTGAATCTGGTTTGTTAGACTGCTGTTTTGTATTGACTGATTTTATTTGAATCTGTTATGATTGATAGTATCAAATCTGAGACTATAGGCAACGACACTGAAGACGACAAGATTCACTAGGATACCCACTCTGCTTCTGAAGTCTTATAATGTCTCCAATGTTTCATTTTTATTAATATTGTTATGTACTATGCCTGATGATATAGATAATTCTATTGAAGATAACAAGAGACATCATAGTAACCACTGTAGATCACCTTATATTGCAGTTTTATACGACTTTCCCATTTCAGGTTTTTCTAGGAATTTGTTGTTTTGTTTTGCTTTGTTTTGTTTTTCCTGCTAATACAGAACGTATAGATGTACAGGTAGAGAGACTCATTCATGCATAGAACTTATAAACAGTTTATGAGAACTGATTATATAATGCACGATGAAATGAATAACTACTTTGAACAAAAAGAGACACTACAGTACCCAGTGGTGATTCCGTAGCATCATGATGTGAAATCCAGCAATACTATTATTCTTTGTTCAGAGTGATTTTAGTCTATTTTGTTTAATTTCAACATACATGAAGGTATGGGCAATTACTCTGAAGAGAATGAGAGACATCATGACAGCCATTGTTGACCTCCTTCATCATCCTGTTCAGATCAGTTTTATACTATGTTGTTTTGTGTGAATTCACTGTATGCAAAAATATGGACAACTATTTGGAAGAAAACAAGAGACAATATGACAGATAGTAAAGACCTCTGGTTGCCTTGCTTTGAAATTTATGTCTCTTATATTGCTTTCTTATGTTCTGTTTTATTCTGTTTTGTTGTGTTTAATTTTACCTTCTTTAAAATTAAAAAAAAAGAAAAAAAAAGAAAATCACCTAAAACACATAATTGTGGTACATAGAATTTTGAAAGTACATGTGTGATCTGTAAACTTTTAAGTATACCTTAATAAAGTTTAGCACATGAAAAGAAGACTAAGAGGTCTATAGTTCCTAGTAGTACAACTCTAAAGGACACAGGCATATTTGTGAAGTGGAAATGAACATTTCCATTCTTAGGTCTATAAATTATCTTAGAAGCACTACTAAGAACCATAAAAATCAAAAGTAATGTCTATTTTTGTGTATAAATGGAAAAACTGGAAGACTAATTCATGAATTAGCTTAATTTCTTGATAATCGCTGAGTAAACATTTGCTCATAAAAATCTGTGACATGAAAGATACTTTTAAAAAGTACACATCTTGGAGATCGTGGCAGTGAGGGATGGAGACTTTGACAAGTACATGGAGAAAAGCAGGCACACTGAGGCAGGCATAATAGAGAAAGACAGATTCAGCACAGTAATCAGGAGAAACTCACTGGACCAAAACCCAGCATTAGTGAGT